GTTTTGGACCCGAGCTGGAGGTCGGGATCGGGGAGGGTGGAGGGCAGGGGGGAAGCAGGGAGATCAAAAGCACAGTCGAAGGGGAGGGTCTACCCGACTACTGCTAAACAAACACAGTACAATGTGTTCTAGAAATTTGCATTGTATGGGCATGTCCTTATAGCACCACCTTGCTAAGCGTAGTGCTGAAGCATGATCGATGCTTCTTAAACTTTCATTTATATGGCATCTTTGGTGGTAAATGGCTGCAAAAATATATTATTTCGCCACTAAATGCACAACGGATACTCAGCATAAATCATCAAAGCACATTGCACTGAAAATGCATTTCAATATTTTGTGCCATTACTCAAAGCCAGAGCTAGCATTTTATCCCTGAACTGTAGATGATTAACTTCTAACAGCACTGCTATAACCTACAAATCAAAGATCACAGCCAAAATAACCCCCACAAATTCAAATTCTAAAACACAATACATGGCGCACTGTTATTCAGTTCAAGAACAAAAGGCAATAGCATAAACCTGTAATATAACAACAACATTAAAAAAAACCTTTCACATTGGGAAGATGTCCCAAGGCGTTGGACAGACAGAGTTACGGACCCGAGCTGCGGATTGGGGTTGGGCAGGGTGGAGGTTAGCTGGGGAAACCAGGGAGATCGAAAGCACGGTCGAAGAGGAGGGTCTTGAGATGGGTCTTGAAGGTGGCAAGGGAGGGGGCAAGGTGGAGGAACTGCGGGATGGAGTTCCAGAGGATGGGGGCAGAGTGACGGAAGGCCCGCCCACCAATAATGGGCGACCAGGTGAGGACCAAGATCCTGGAGTCAAGAGTGGAGGCAGAGAGGTAGATTTGGTGTCATCCACATACAAGTGGAAGTTGACCCCATATCTGCGGATGATGTCACCAAGAGGAAGCATATAGATATTGAAAAGGGGACCAAGGACAAAGACCTGAGGAATACCACACAAGATGGTGCGGGGGCTAGAGAAGCCGTATATAAATATATATAATAAATAATATATATAAATATATAAACAGTAACCCTCCATCCCCAAATAATTTGAGAAATCACACAGTAGACTAGAATAATTTTTCATCTCCCTACACAATAGACATCATCCAGAATTTCCACCTTATAACATTAGTTCCTAATAGTGCTGAAATATGCCCCAAGGTGAAAAAAAAGCAGTAGGTTTCAATCACCTATTTTATTATATAATAATAATCCTTGCATTTGATATAGCAGATTATCACGTCTTCAAGACGTCTCAAAGCGCTTCACAGAATATACTGTAAAGTAAATTGACTATACATTTTGTGGGTGAAACGGGCAACCAGTTGTGCACAGCAGGGTCCCACAAACAATCATGGATTAAGTAAACAAATTATGATTATTATTACATTTTAAAACATTTGTGATATATTTTTTGAGGGATTGTTAACCCCGGAAAAGTTACATTTTAAATTATGTTACATAACAAAGTATTTCAAATGGAAGACTAGGTCACATCTTAAAATCTCAATATGTGTGCCATGTAATTCCTCTTGTTACACTCCTCACCGGTCTCCCTAGCTCCACTATTCAAAAGATCCAGCTCATTCAGAACTCTGCCACCCACATACTTACCTGGAACAAACTCCATACCTCCATCTCACCAGTTCTGGCCAACCTCTGCACTCCCCAATCCACCTGGTGCCTCCGCTCAACTGGCACTGGCCTCTTGCTCATCCCTTGCACCCTCCGACCCACCATCAGAGGTCACGCATTCAGCCATTACATTCTGAAACTCTGGAACACTCTCCCTCAATCTCTCCGCCTTGGCCCCTCTCTTCCCTTTTTCAAGACCCACCTGAAAACCTTCCTCTTCGACCGTGCTTATGGCCACCTCACTCCCCAGCCAGCCCCCCCCTCCCCCCCACCACCGGCTCAGAGTCAGACTCCGACACTGTCTGACTCCGACACTGTTAAGTGATCTGAGACACTACCCTGCATGGGGGCACTGTATAAGTGCAAATTGTTGTTATTATAATTACATGTAACTCTGTATGAGTATGTGATATTTGTTTGAAGTTATAGGCCTGGGTTTAACGGGTCCATCTGCCTTTCACTGGGCAAAACACCTCAGTCTAAATGGAGCATTACATAAGTTGTCCAATACCAGGAACAAACCTCATGACATTGCTCGGGTATTCTGATCAATAAGAAGTTAAAATGCCTTGCTCATTAACTTTACCCAAGTTGGCAGTGGTACCACAATGAGCTAGGGAAGCAAAAAAACATCATTCGAATTTTCTCCTGATTTGCAATCCAGTAACCCTCTACTGAGCAGCCTGTATGAATTTTGTCATAGCAGCCAGGTTTGGGCTCAGCTGCATTACCACTAGCAGCTGAATAGTATTCTGATACTCTCTGCCTAGGCTCTAATATTAAGAATTGCCACTTGAGTGAGGTACCAGAGGGCATCCGTTGTCAATGCAACCGTATCTCCAGCAGAATGCAGAGCCCCTGGAGAGGATGAGTGGAAAAATTGGAAAAAGGAATGAAACATTTAAAAATGACAACACTCAGTTAAGAGAAATGTCTTGCATTTGAGAGAGATAAAAGACCTAGAGGGGAAGCAACAAAGGTTCATTTGCTAGGTTACCTACAGATAAAAGATATATTTTACCGAGAAACAAGAACCCCTAAAGCTCAACAGATTTCCAATAAGTAAGAAAATCTGTAATATTTTGTGTTGCTTGAAGCACAGACTTTTCATATAATGCAGAAATGATATTTTCACGTGAAGACCTCGGGCCCAAAAATAAGACATTATTTTTCTGAGATATTATCTAACTTTACTTCACTGCATTTCATTTAGGCATAATATCACATCCGGTCACAGAAAACATTAATACACATTTTAATGTTATGTCACACGCTGGAGAATTTGCATCTAAAATGAAAACAAAATTCTGCAGCAAATATTCATTAGAACTGGCTGTAACATCAATCTATCCAACAGTTTAACATTCCCAACTGAATATGGCATTTGCAGCTATGATAGTCCTGCATCATATTTCTTGACATTATAACAGGGAGGTAAAAAAAAATTAGATTTTCTAATTTACATTGTATCCCTGCATTGTAATCCACAGAGGACTCAATCCTATTCTTCATCCAGTCATTAAGAAACAGGTTTAAAATTGTCAGTGAGTGTACCGTTTTGTACCTAAGCAACAGATATCCCCTAATAAAGAGGACTTCCCCCAGACAGTATTCTGGATAATATATTCAGCATCAAAGACTTAGAAGTTACAGCATTGAAGGAAGCAATGCAGCCCATTGATCTTAAATGGTGCTAGCTCATCTACTGTAGCTAACTTGTCTCATTTACTTCAATTCACTGTTCTTTCCCTGTACATCCGATATTCTTTCTATGCAAGTATTGTCATGAACTAGCAAAGCTGTGCGAGAAGATCACATTCATATTTTCTTGTAAAAGCCATTCTTCTACTAGCAAAATCTTCTAAACCTTCTCCTTCATACAACAATTGGCTTTTAACATCTTAGACAATTGAGGGGAAATTCAACCAGGTTCCTGTACCCAACTGCTAAGCAAAGATTTGTTGGATGGTGCGTGTGTTTTGTAATGAATTGCTGAAACACTGGTCCACGCCTTTAACACCTCAAAGCTGGACTATGGGAACTCTCTCCTCGCCGGCCTTCCCAGCACCTCCCTCCACAAGCTGCAGGTCATTCCGAACTCTGCAGCTCATGTACTGTCCCGCACCAGGCTTCGCCACCACATCACTCCCACCCTCGCTCGCCCCACTGGCTCCCCATCCCCCAAAGGATCGAATTCAAGATCCTCATCCTCACCTATAAGACCATTCACGGCCTTGCTCCCTCCTACCTCTCCGACCTACTATCCCCCTACCTACCTGCCCGTACCCTCCGTTCCTCTGGCTCCGGTCTGCTCCACATCCCCCGCCCTAACCGCCCTACCATCGATGGCTGGGCCTTCAGCCTCTCAGCCCCTAGGCTCTGGAACTCCATCCCCCAGTGCCTTTGTCGTGCTTCCTCCCTTTCCTCCTTCAAAGCTGGTCTCAAGACCTTTCTCTTCGACCGTGCCTTCAGCTCCCCTCTCGACTCTCTAACCCCTCCTCGCTCGCTCGCTCCCTCCCTTCCCTCCCCTCACCCTGACCATTTCCCCCTTGCTCGGGTCCTGACCCAACTGTCCAGCGCCTTGGGACGTCCTCCCGACGTGAAAGGCGCTCTATAAATGAAATCTTGTTGTTGTTGTACGCTGGGATCCAGCACAGGTTTACGGTGAACTATAATGACTCCATCATCTCTGTTCACAAATAAATAAATCACCGTTTGGGCAAGGGACCTTGGGAGCGTCTTGTGCCTATGGAACCATATTCCAGTAAAAGGATAAAGCAGTCAAATGACTTCAAGAAAGGAAGAGGGAGTGGGGGGACAGAATAGAGGCATTAAACTGGGGAGAGGGAAGAAAAACATCTATTGCCAACATGTTTTAGATTTTACATTCGCAGTTTTTGCTGCAGTCCTAACCCTCCCCTCTGAATATGTAACAATCTTCCAAAGGACTCCAGCACCTTATAGCCTACAGCAACACATTTTCAGTCAACTCTAACACTTCATGTATAATGAACAGAAAGGGAGAAAAAAAGATAAAAGGATTGAGGATCATTCACTTTGCAAGATACAAGAGAGATCTGACAAATAATTTTCTTACTCTTGCAAGAAAGGCACGACCAAGGTTATATCATTTGCTGTAGCTCACATCTATTGTACAATTTAAAGAGGCCACTGGATATATCAAACACAAGTCAAATGTGTTTCAAATGCAAGTTACAGTCAAATATGTTTCTCTGAATAAAGTTGAATTACCTTTAAAAGTTCCAAGATGCTGTCCGGTGTGAAGTGTGCAATATAAATGCAAGTTGTTGTTACCTTGCTCTGTCAACAGTGTATCTGAATACTATACCTGGGAGTGAGTTTGGATTCTTCTAGGAGTTTTCGAAATTCTTCTTTGGCCTGAAGTAGCTTGCTCTTTTTCTCTTTGCATTCTTCTTTAATTCTTGTTTTTATAAATTTTTCAAAGATCTTTAAGAAAAAAGTGGTACAATTCGATTTGAATGTCGAACAATTGTTCGCAATGTTCTACATATGAATTTGTTAATTTGTACTCCCGCTAAAATGATCATATATTAAATATGTATCATTCATAGAAATCAATTTGCAATTGAAGTATTACTTTCAAGGACAAAATATTATTATGTTTTAATAGCTTTAAAGGGTGATGGATATGTTAAAACATACAATATATACACAATACAACCTGCTTCTGTAAAGCACACTGTGCTTCAAGCTGCATAGCATGGCCATCTACATAGTTAGCAACACTATAAGATGTCTAAAGGACATTTAATAAGGCATGTTTATGATCTGTACATTATAGCTCAGGGTCCATTGATAGCTTATTTTTCAAATCCATCACTACTCATTGCATTATATCCTGTACAACCACTTCCCAGTATACAGTACTTGGATTCATTAAGCAGTCAATCACCATTAACTGAAAAGACTTGTTTTTACCTGTTTACGTTCCTCAGGGTTTAGAAACAAATAGCGAGGGTCAAAGACTATCTTGTGCAGCTCCTTTTCCCAAGTAGAAAATGCAGACACCTAAAAGCAAAAAAAAAACTTGTTTGTATATACTCAACAGTATTCTAATAATGTAATCTGCCTTTGTTTCAATTTGACTGAATGCATTCCTAACTTGGCTTCACAATATGGTATTTCAGAATGAAAGGCAGATTTAGCGAATATATTCATTCCATCAAAGACATTTCCTTTCTGCAAACAGGCATTGCTGGATTGCCAATAAACTCAAATATTTCACAGGTGGAATACCACCACCAATTTGGACATTCACTTTACATGAATGATAATATCTTGAAGGGTCTTTATGGAAATAGAGTGGAACCCTGACCATATGGGAATCAGGGAAGAGAGTTGAGTGGAACAGTGTCTGAAAGTTTGGCCATCAATGGTTGAATATATTTTACATATTATACCAACATTATTACAACATCTTACAATGGTATTCATAAAACTTTCATGGGAAACTGTCAACAATCCTAGTAGAGTGGTTTTAACAAGTTTGATGGTACAATCATTTCAAGTAAATGGAACTGTTATAACTTTTAGAACCATTCTGAGCAGTCCATTTACCAAATATATAGCTAAGAAGGCAATTCACCAAGCAGAATTGAGCAAAGAGGTATTCGTCATCCTCTAACTAAGACCATCAGACTTCTGTACAGTTGTTGTTGCTTAAGAATACTTCATGAAGGCCAGAACCAGGTTAACAGAATACAGTATGACACCTGGAGTACTTAAATCAACCATGTCAAGACTGGTTTCGCCACAGGCCATTATTCTGTGCTCCTCGAATCACTGGTGTCCTGAATTGGAATGTTTTATAGCACTATCCTGAATTCCCAGTTTTGCAATTTGGGAATAATCTATGTCTTCAAATAACATTTTGCATACCTTGTATGCCCCCTACCCCCACCAAATTTGAATAGCAAAACCATGTGCACATATTAATACCCTCCATTCTCCACACAGGAAGTCACTTTGAATTTTCTGCACCAAGGCCTGAATAAAAGTAATTGTCAGCCATAGACAACAACTGCCTTCTTTCCTTAAATAAATGTTATCCATTATGAGGAAGAGTGGCTTCCCTTTCTGACAATTCAATATTAAAATGATCTATAAAATGTACATTATTCAGTTTTAGTTTACTTTGAATGTTGTAGAAAAATTGCCCCAACAAATGTAGATAAGGTTGGCGATGGGGGTGGGGGACGGTCAAAGCATGGTATGTGATGCAAGACATTTCACCCTTTCGACTTTGTTCAAGTGGTAATCCCCTCCCAAAAGCAGTCACTGAGATGGGCACCTTTGATCCTATCAAGTATGGCTGTTGAGTTATGAGTTCAGGCTCAGTGAAATTTGAGCTTCCTTCAGCTTTTATCTGCAGCATTTTCCTCCCATCTGGGCATATTTCTTTCTTTTATTCACTAATGATTGTGTTGAGTATTTGCTACAAGACCAATTTATTGATTCACGTTGCCTTCTCCTCATTTAAGAATCGTAGGCAGGAATTGGGGCTTTTTGGCGGAAAATGAAGAAGTATCTCTTACTCACTAATCAAGCAGAGTTGTTGATGGTGCCTTGGTTAAAGGGGATAATTAAAGGGGATAAGAGCAATATTCATTTCTATGCATATCTTGTTGGTTTACTATTCGTTAACTTTACCTGTCGAGGGCAAGTATCCATAGCTTTGTGTAAATGTGTAGTATAATCAAAATCTTTACAAAGCTATGTAGCAGCAGACACTGCAAAAGGCTGACTTCATAATGATTTTATAGCAAATTGCCTCATCTCAAACTTTTCACCAACAAGAACCCCATTGTGTGGAAGGGAAACATTTGTACTATTTCTTCAGAATGGGGACTGTCAATTTCTGGTCTTGCAAATTAAAAGTGACAACACAGGGGATCCATTGTATAGAGAACAATTCTCCTGAGTATTAAGCAAATATATTGCAGCAAACTTTGAGCTGTAAAAATTCTTCATTCAAGCCAAACTGTATAAACTGACCTGCATTAATATTTAAATCCAGGTTTTGGGGATAGAGAAAAATATTGACTTGAAAAACAATATCAGTTATTGCAACAATTGTAATGGTTGCAGGTTATTTTTCCCTCTAGTACTGCCTTCACTGGCTCATTTACGCTGGACAAAAGTTGATGAATGTTGATTCTTTTTATTAAAAACAAGTGGCGGGGTGGGGGTCTAACAAATGGTGTACATTTACAAATCAAATGCAAGGATTATTATTTAGAAATTCCTAAAGTATTGAATATTAATTGTCAAGGTATACTGGAGAAGAACCCCACCCCATGATCAGGCGTGAAACTGAGACTCACAGGCAATTTCTGATCTCCAGCATTTGCTGGCTAGTTAGTGTCATTCCAACTTTTGCTAAGCAAAAAAACTGAATAAGCAGTTATCTCAAGCACTGGTAGGTGAATGATGCAATCTGCAAGTTGGATATGTGTCCCAGTTTCTTGGATGTCAGTATTGAGATAGAGCACCTTATCATACCCTTGAGACATCTCAAAGTGCTTCACATGATATACTGTAAAGTGGAGTGACTGTGTATTTTGCGGGCAAAACAAGGTAGCTAATTGCGCACAACAGCCATGGAGTAAGTGACCAATTTTATGAGGGGGATTGTTGGCCATGACACCGGGAGAAACTCCCTTATCTTTTTGAATAGTCCCACAGGATATAATTCAGCTCACCAGTTAGATGGGACCTCGGTTTAATATCTCATCAGAAGTATGGCATCTCCGACAATGCAACACCCCCCCGCCCCCAGCAGCACTGCATTGGAGTGTCAGCTTAGACTATGTGATTGTAAGTGGATCACATCAAAATACAGCGTTATAATAATAATAATCCTTGCATTTGATATTGTGGCTTATCACATCTTTGAGATGCTTCAAAGCACTTCAACGTGTTGTGTCGATAAGGTGTACGTTAAAACAATAGCTGTTTCCACTTGTTGGTGAGTCGAAAATGAGGGGACATAAATATAGGATAGCTGGTCATGGATCTAATAGGAGGTTTAGGAAGCATGTATTCATGCAGAGGGTGATGAGGATGTAGAATTCACTGCCAGAAGCTGCATTGAAGCAAAACAAAATACAGTTAAGAGGAAACTTGATGCATACATGAGGGAGAAAGGAAGACAGGGATATAGGAGAGGATATTAAGAGGGTTTGGGTGCTCATGCGGAGGAGAAACACTAGCATGGACTAGTTTGGTCAAATGGATCGTTTATAACATTCTGTGTATTTCTATGTAACTTGTAAGAGATGGCACCATGAAGCAAAGCTCTCTTTCATTTCCCCTTCCCTCCGACAAAGTCAAAAAGGTTTCCAAAGTATTTTCTTCATTAGGTAGATGCCTCTTAAGCAGAGAAACAAAATGATAAGTTATCAAAAAGCCTTTATCTAAAAAGGCATCACGTTTTCATGAATATAACTGATGTGAGTCTATCAGAGATCTCCTAATTAATTTTTATTAGAATATTCCATTTAATATTCTTAGAATATCTGATTTATTTTAATTGTATAACCCATTTAGTTTAATTGCTTAATTTGGAGAACGTATTTGAAAAATCAATGCTGCTTCATACAAAGACAGATTGGAACCAGCAGTGGCTGGGGAAGACCATTTGAGTCAATTGAGACTCGAGTTTTAGATTCAAACCACACGAGGATCAGATGGCACTGATATGGAAAATAATTTATGGTTATTGGGAACAATGTCCCCAGAGTGTCAGTGAAACAAATTCTTCAAATCGGTGGATCTATAGAACTGTTCGTGGAAATTAGTGGAATCAAATAGATATTCCCTAAGCCGACTGGAGAATAAAACACTGTCCCATTTGTCCAATAGGACAATCAAATAAGTGGGGTATCTTTTCCTCACAGCTGCTTAAATGGACAAACAGATCCATTGACCAGCACAGAAATCAATATTTCAAACACCTTGGTCTAGACCTATTGTGCTGATGTAGCATTTCAAAGCATCCAGAAAAAGCCAAATTCTTAATTATAAAGTCAGTTTCTGCAAGCTTTAAAACCGACTTCAAAGTTCAGACTGAATTCAATTTTTTTTTACCCAAATTCTGGACACTCTAAAATGCTGCACTGACAGAACACATCTAGATCCCAGTAAAATCTGCACTCCAATATTCCTTAAGTGGAGTCCTGTAGCGGATTGGTTAGAGCACTTGCTTTGCAAGCGAGCGGACCAGGGCTCGATTCCTAGGCAGGGCAAAATGTTAGGCAAGTTTCCTCTGTTCATATTGCAGTAAGTAGGAACCCAGTTGTTATGCAATTGGTGGATCCCCCGACCCCCCCCCAAAAAAATTATTTTGTCACTCAATCCACGACTGTTTGTGGGACACTGCTGTGTGCAATTGGCTGCCGTTTTTCACCCATTAAAAAATAGTCAATTCACTTCACAGTATATTCTGTGAAATGCTTTGAGACTTAATAATAATAATAATCCTTGCATTTGATATAGCGCTTTTCATGTCTTCTAGACATTCCAAAGCGCTTCACAGAATATACTGTAAAGTGAATTGACTGTATATTTGTGGGCGAACGCGGCAGCCAATTGCACACAGCAGTGTCCACAAACAGTCATGGATTGAAAATGACCAATTTATTATTATTGTTTTGTCTTTTTGGAGGGATTATTATTAGGCTGTGGAGTAAGGAAACTTGCCCAAGGTTTCGCTCTGCCTGGAATTGAACTCAGGTCTCTCACTTGCAAAGCGAGTGCTCTTACCACTGAGCTACAGGACTCCACAAGACTTCTCGAAGATGTGATAAGGTGCTTTATCAAATGCAAGGATTATTATTATTATATGTGCTAAAAGTTCCATACACTCTCTCTGTACATTCTCCACACTTAGTTTTTGAAAAAGCAAACACGTTGCTGAACTGTCCTTTTAATTAACAGTGCTGCCAAATATCTCCAATCTGAATTTATTACCAGGAATGGATCTTTTACACATTTGTTTTTTCAAACTT